ACGGCCACCAGACTGATAGCTGGGAATCCAGCATGGGACTGACTCAGGCCCCCCTGAATATGGGTCTCAGCCAGAAGGACTGAGCAGTCTAAGGGACCTCAGACAGGATGTATCCCTGGTGCACAAAAGGACTTTGGGGACACATCCCCCATGGAGGGATACTGCCTTAACCTAGAGACAGGAGAGAAGTCCTAGTCCCTACTTCAAATGACTTGACAGATTTACATGACCCCCACCTGGATGGAATAGCCCTACACGTGGAATAGAGGTGGGGGGATGGGAGGGGAGGGTGGTCAGGGTACATGTGAGGGGGAAGAGAGAATAAGAGGGATGGAGGGGGAGGGGACTGGGATCGACATGTAAAATAAAAATAATAATAATAATACAAAGAAATTTAAACAAATTTTCCCTTATACATGGCTACACAAAGTAGCAGAGTCAAAATTCAAATCAAGCTTGTTGGGCTCCAGAGACTGGCTTTTTACTGTTCACTATCTGTCTTGATGAAGATGATAGTGATGACAATGATGGTTATGATGTTGGCGATGGTAGTGGTGATGCTGATGGTAGTGGTAATGCTGATTGATGGTAGTGGTGAAGCTCAGCACTGATGGAAGCAGTTTCAAATACAACTGGGTGTTTATGTACTCTACTAGATCCTTATAATAGCACTCTGAAATGGGTACTATTATTGTTTTCTTACAGATGACCAAACTGAGGCTCAGAGAGGTTAAGACAACAACCTGCCTCGGATGCAGAGAATCTACTGAATGGAAGCGAATGACTGCCCATTGAGGCCCTCCTGTTGATGACCCACTCCACTGTCTCGATCTACAAACTGAGAAAATAAAAGGTAAGGGACTAACTCCATTCCTGAAAATGAACTGGTTGGTCTGGTTTGTAGGTCTGCATCTGCGAACTGATAGGTCGATCTGGTTTAGTAGGGTCGATACCCACAGCCTTGACTTACAGCTGCTCTCTTTTCCCAGGAATCAGGGTGTGTCTGACAGCAGCGCTTTCCTACACACGAGGCCAACTCTGCCTCAGCCATGGTTATTGTCTTTCTAGACAGGGAAGGACCGCTCCCAGGCTTGTGGGTACATGAGTAGTGCTCAGAAATAGCCCCCTAATCGGCCTCATCAGCTTTGAAGGAGGCCACAGCAGGAGGGGCCTAAGTAGGCCACCACTTTAACCCAGTTACGTGAGGGCAGCTTTAATCCAGGATGATCAGATCTTCCTAAACCCTCTAGGGGAAAAAAAATGTCCAAAAGCAATTTCTTGATTCCAAGTCTCCCAGGTTTGCAACACACATGCCATTTTCCTTCTGGAAGAGCATGACCTGAAGGTATAATGGGCCAAGCTTGACTTGCAAGGCAGCCAGGACTGAGGGAAGGCTTTTAGCAATTGGCAACTGTGCAGGCTATTGGAAATACCCAGAGTTCACGCTGCCTCGGGTCGGACTGTTGCTTTTCCTTGATAGGCCCCTGGCTCCCCTTCATCCACCTTGAGAAAGCCAGGAAATCATTGCCTTCCTCTGCATGGGCCAGACAACCACTTAGGTCAACCTGGATGCTTGTGGACATGCTAGGTTCTACCTCCTCTATGTTCCCATCATGGCCAGTCACCTCATGTCTGGCACTGACTAACCTAAAGTTCTTCAGGGAATCAGACTGCGCTGCCTTTCCAGGCTGTAGTTGGAAAATAAATAAAGAGCAAAACAAACAACAATGGGAAAAAAAGACCAAAAACAAAAAACCCACCAACCACCAGAGCTGTGGGACCTGGCCCAGTGTGGTTTGTCTGGTTCTGTCCCCATCATTTGGGGTCTTCCTTACGCAGATGTACTTGGCCTCCTCACTATTGTATCCCCCAAACTACCTGTCTTGAGGGACAGTTCAACCGAGTGAGCCCCTCAGGTAGGAAGTAGAAAGCTTGTCTGGCCTCGCGGATGCTGGTAGAGAAAGAAGACCGTCTCGGGTTTATATATTCTTTCACTGGCATGGGGTCTTGCTATGGAGGCCAGGCTGTCCTCGAAACTTGCAGTCCTTCTGCCTCAGAAGTGCGAGGATCCCAAGTACTGGGATTTCAGGCCTATACTACCACGTCTAGGTAGGACATGTATGATACTGATGTTACATGCTAAAAGTTTATTTACGGTTTTTCACATAGGGGCTTTCTGTAGCAGGAAAATGACTTCCTTAAAGGGGAAAGGAAGGAGAAACAATTGCAGTATTTAATGTGGCTCTGAAGCACATTAGGTTACGAGACGTCTCTTATTTTATACCACTGAAAGCGAAAAATGTTGCATGTCATTGATCGTAGGGGACATTCAGCTTTATGGCGATATTAAAACACGACCAAAAAATGTCTTAGAGCTAAAGAAATAGAGAAAAAATCTATTAAAACAAAGATACCACCTCTTCTACACACACCACACCCCCACAGACTTCCACAACACAGGGCGCATAAAGGCACAGCGGGAGAGTGCAGTCAAAAGCCCAGTAGCTGCTAATGGCTACTCTGAGGACAAGCTATGTGATGAAATGCAGAGGCCAACTACTCTGCCCCCTACCCCTCATGCCCAGAAGGGGCCCTCTAAGGTACCTCCTCAGCATCTATGAAGTGTGGAGGAATGATTTCTAACTGTCTGGAGGAGTTTCAATTGCACTGGTAATGTTCACTCCCTTAAGTTGGATTTAGCTGTTATTCTTCGTGCCTTTTAGAGGTCTTAAAAGGTTTCATAAAAGCACCGATGTAGACTGTCAGGTCGAAGAGATGACTCAGAACCTCGAAGCTTCAAGCAAGGGCAACAACAATAGAAAAGTTTCCTTGGAATTATGTGATTGAGGCAGGCCTCAGCACTGACATTCTGTCTCTGGCTCCCACCCCCCACGGCAGCCTCCCAGGCCATAAATACATAGCATTTACGAGCCTGTCCACACTGAACATAAGGTATGTCCAAGAATGCATAGGAACGCCTGAGTTCCTGTGAGACATAATGCTGGAGGGTCCAGGAACTTTGTGGGATAAAAAGAAATAGCAGAGAGGTTGTGCTCTTGGCTGTTAGGGAAGAAGAAACCGTAGACAGAGCAGAGGCAGATGAGTACCACCTCTCAGAGCCCCTGGGAAGATGAGGTTAAGGACAAGAGTCAGCAGGGAAAACTGATGGCTGGTACAGAGGTGGGGCTGGGATTCAGTTGCTGGACAGTAGAGTAGACCAGTGGGTCATGCTATTATCCTTAGACCCTGGCAGAGATATGCCAAGGCAAGATCCACCTCTATTACTGAGACTTGCCTTGTGGCATGCTGGGATTCCGGGGCAGCTGACAAAGAGGAGTCAGGGATGAAGGTTAGGGAGTATGTTGTGGAAGGTGTCTATCAAGTGGAGAAGTCTCTCTACTCCCTTTCTGAAGGCTTACAAGCCCCTTGCCCTGCAACTTAGCCATCTCAGGAGTACCACCTCAATGCTATCCGTAACACTGACGAGGAGACACAAGTCGGATTGCCGTGGAATGAGGCTGTCCTTGCCTACTGAGACTAGATCTCACCATTGTTTTCTGCTAGGCTGGCCGGACAGCAAACTCCAACAGCCTTCTAATCTCTTTCCCACCAGTGCTGGGGTTACAGGAACATCTAGGCAAGCCTGGCTTTTACAGGGATTCTAGAGATCAAAACTCAGGTCCTTATGTTTTCCCAGCAATCCCTTACCCACAGTCATCTCCCCAGACCTCTCCTCCCTTTGCTCTGAGAGCTGGGTCCCTAGGCCATGGTCTCACTAGCAATCTAACACACCGGAAGGGTAGTAGAGCCCAAAGGAGGTGCCTCTTCTGGTACTAGTTTCTAGCTTCTTGCTTATTACTGAGCCTCACTTGATTGTTTTCTCCCCTGAAGTAGGAACCATATTGCCAGTCAACTCCCAGAGCGTCCAGAGGGAGTATTTCGGGAACACATGGAGAAGCATTGACCACTGACACTGGCACACAGCTGTAGTTATTGCTTTACAGAGTGAGAACCTGAGCGGCAAGTGAAGAAATTACCAAGATGGTTCTTTCTAATCTAGAATTACAAGGTGCTGTATGCTTCACAGCCTGGGGGGAGGGGTTGCGACACTTCGGTGATGGGGGAATCCACCTGCACTAAATGTCACTATGCATCCCTTCTAGAAGTGGCAGCATCAGCAAAATAGACAGAGGACTTTGAGTAAGCACAGCTGGCTGTTCCCAAAGGACACCATTACCTTGCTCACTCCTCTCCAAGGAACAGTCTGACCTTGCATGGACACTACTTACTTGAAGGACATTTGGGGGCTGTGGGCCAGAAATCAACATGTTTTAAAGTTGCATTCTTTCGTTCGAATGCACGTGTGTGTGTGTGTGTGTGTGTGTGTTTTGTGTGTGTGTGTGTGAGAGAGAGAGAGAGAGAGAGAGAGAGAGAGAGAGCACTTGTGTGTGCAGAGGTCAGTGATGAATGGCTAGTATCTTCACACAAACCCCATAGGTTGCACTGATTGGCCAGGCTAGCTATCTATCAAGGCCCTGGAATCTGTCTCCACTCCCAAAGGCCGTGGTTAAAGGTTCACGCTGTTGCACTTGGCTTTTACTCTTGTACTGGTGATTCAAACTCAGGTAGGTGCTCTTGCTTGTCCAACAAACACTTTACCAACTGAGCCATCTCCAAGGCACAAAGTTGCATGGTTTGACCTCACCATCTAGCCTAGCATACCATGGGGCCCAGAGAGCCTATATCCCTGACTGATAAGCTCCCCTTAGAGTGAACAAATGGCCCGGTAGGTCCCAGGAACCTTGATGGAAGTAGGTAGTGTGTGGGAAATCAAGGCCAAGTCACTGTTCTGCCTATGGGGCCAAGCTGTGATGAGCCCAGCTGCCCTGGCTTGGGAGGGTGGCTACTTCACGACACACAAGGCCAACAAATGTCTGCTTTTGTCTACTTTGCAAAGCCTTCTTGAGAGGGTTCTGAGAAGCAAGGGCAGGACGCCTGAGTTCTCATAAATCTTTTAATAACAGTAAATGAAGAAAACATTGTAACAATAAGTTCCATGGGGAGGGTTCCTTTTCATCCAGGGATCTTCAACAGCACAAACACCTGAGGCTAAGATTCAAAATGCTAAGTACACAAATTAAGGACCATTTATTTATTTCAAAGGTGGCTGCAGAAACCACTTCAGTACAATCAAAGGGGTTTTACAAAACAGGGAAAACACATTACAAAAACACCCAAAGACGGGAGGTAGACTGGAGGTGGGGGAGTAAAGAACGCCCCAGAAGCAGCCTGGCGAAGAGGCTCCATCTTGCTGCCATCTAGGGCGTTCAGGGGTTGGCTCTCAGGGGAGTCTTGCACAAGAGGGTGACAGTACATGGCAGTCTCGGCTTGAGAAGGATGGAGGAAGAGGCATTCACTAATGTCCCAGAAGAAATAATTGTACACCATTCAATCCTGTTCTCCTCACCACGATTACGTCAAATAAATGAAGATTGCTTTCAAATCTTAACATGGACGCCAAAACAAATCAAGAGTTTCTGAAGCATTGTTTCTGCTTACAAAATGACTTTTGCTTTTGCTTTATCATTGAGTGGGGGTGGGGATCTGCTTGGTGCCATGGGTGGCAACAGGGTACAAAAGTGTTTCAGACAAGGGCAACGGCAAGTACCTTGGTCTTCCTGCGGATGGACTCCCACTAAGAGAAGGCAAGTCCAGGAGGAGATAGGACACTCCTTCCCCGTCTTGCATCTTCCCAAGTTCCCTGTGAGGCCTGGTCCTGGCTCCCTAAAACCAACAGCTGTGTCTTGTCCTACAGTGTCAGGAAGCCCCTTTTTCTCCCCACCCCAAGCCTCCCTTACAGTAGAAACCATTAAGAAACTCCTCTCCCAAGGACGACAGGGGACAGAATTCCAGGGAAGTCTGTTTGGCAGCAGGAGGGCTAAAAGGATCCTTGCCATCGCCTGAACACCCAGCTCAACCCAACTCAGAGCGTTACCTAACCCCAGTTCCTCTGTGCTGCTGCTGAGCTAACTGTGAGAAGCTTGAATTACGTCACAAGACACTGAGTTGTCCAAGATCACACACAGCAAAGGCCGACGGAGGCTACAGCAAAGGGACTTGACAGGAACTTGGAAGAGCCACAGAATAAAGTGCACAGCCGGCTCCGCTTAGCCCACTTAGACCCTGTAAACCACAGGTACAAAGAAGTCACAGAAAGACAGGTGACAGACTTAGAGAGGTGAAGGTGGTGACTCCAGGACCCCACAGCATGTCACAGGATGACAGAAGCACTTGCTGCCAGGCTTCACAGAGGATGTTGGGCCAAGTGATATATATACAAAACCCAATACCAGGAGTGGGAAGGGCCTCAAAGCAGGGGAAGACAACCTCTGTTACTCAGAGTGGCTGCCACAAATTGTCCACTTTAACCAATTGTTCTTGTTGGTACAGCCCCTTGACCATGGGTGCTGAGGGCTTGAGGATGCTCTGTTCCCTCTTGCTGGGATTATCTAAAAGAAACTGGCCACCTCTGAGTACTGTCACACAGGCACACAACTCACATGTACTGGTAGACTTTGGCCAAGGTAGTTAGGGGACAACCTTCATAGGAACAAGAAAGGCCTGAGGACGAGCTGCGGATTCAGTACAAGCTATCTTCTCTTTTGTCCCTGGTACCTCAGACAGTAGAGGGTGGGTTCTTGAACAAACCTGGGGGCAACTCCCAAGTCAAAGTGCTTAGAGCCTATACCTCTTGCCATACTGGTTTGGACCAAGGTAAGAGAGATACAATGAAAAGGCCCCCTGTTCCCCAACGCCCCAAACCCAGGCCAAGGCTCCCTATGGAATCTGCTGAAGGAGCCACAAACTGTTTAACTTCTTTACATATGAGCCAACCTAGGCCCCCTGCATCTCCCCTTTACTTCCTCCTTCTGACAGGTGTGCGTGACTCAGGCAACATGGCTTTGAATTTCTTCCTCTCTTTCTGCAACAGAAAATGCCTACCAGAAATGGGTCTGTTGAGCTGGTGCCAAATCAGAGGCAAGCCACTGGAGTCATGCCAATGCAGGCAAAGCCCAAGATGCCTGGCGATGTGGGCCATGGCGCCTCGGGTGGGGAAGAAAGCTTGTGTGGCTCTCCCAGCCCTATAACATTCTGGAGATGGCTCCCTCAGCTGAAGTCCTACATCGCTGCAGGTAGCAGCTCCATGCTGCGGCAGAGCTCGTGCCATGGCAGGCCTCGTGGGCTCCCCTCCACTGACCTCTTTCCACATTCTCTAATAGAGAGGCTCAGGGCCATGGAGGCTCTCACACATTCGATTCCTCCATCCACTTCTCTGAGGGAGCGGGGCGAATAAGCAACTGAAGAAGCACTTCTAGAGGCTGAGAGGAGGAAGAGCCATGGCAGGAGCTCTCTGTACCTCAGAGCTGATCACCTCACGGTCAAGTAAGCCCTCCCAGAGATGCTTCCCAGATTCTCTGGGAGACTCTCCTGCTGCTGCTTCCTCTGCAAGTCCCTGAAGCTCAGGTTAGGCCCAGTACCCACAAAACTCACATTGAATACTGCAACTGGAACAGGGCAATGGGGTGGTCATGGTACAAGCTTTTCTATTCTTAAGCAAACTTCCCCCTACCAGGAGTCAGCAAATGCACAGACACAGGCGCCCTTGTGGTCCACACATGACAAAGTACCTTTAAAGCAAAGCTCCTCCCTTCCGGACACTTGAACCTCTACCTACGGGGATCTGATCTAATGGCAGCTCCCTTTCGACCTACACATGGGCTTTGGACGTCGTCATACATGAAAGAAATCTAACCCTAAAGAAACCACCTTCGGGAACTGTGAGCATACCCTCTAAGTGCCCAGAATGGCTCCAGAGCACTGCGGGAAATGCAAGGGTTCCCCTGTTTCAAACATCCAAAATACAAACAGCCAAAGAGCACCCAAGCCCCAAGCCCAGCTCCCCCTCTTCCATGAAGCTGCCTCAGACAAAGAGGAACAGAGAGACACACACATAGACAATGAGGATGGTTCGAGGGGCGGCTGAGACTAGATCATTGCCTGTTATCCACACGACACAGAGCATGATTCAGATCACAGCTTTTTCAAGTTGCCACTCAACTGAGTTGATTTCTTCATCTCTAAGGTCACTTGGGAGTGGGAAGTGGGTCTGTTCTCAGATTTCATAGGGAAGGTCTTTTTTTTGGGGAGGGGGCTGGGCTGGGCTGTCCTGCCTGGTACTGTACACACCTCAGCCCCCTTTACTAGAGATTAAACCTGGCAACACACCTCCAACCCCCCTCTACAGAATCTTGCCCTTGGCTGCACATTGCTATCACTTTCCACCCCAGGCAGCACCCGACAAGGAGTGGCTGGGTAGCTCCCTGCTTTGAGTCACGGGACACCCGTCACTGGGAGAATCTATTTTGGCTGTGATCTGGGAAGTCCCTTGCCTCTGAGCTTGCAGCTGGTATGGAAACAAGGTCTTGGTCCCCTTCTGATGGGGGCGATGCTGGAGATAAAAGGGGGTCCCAGCATGAGCCTGGAGGTCGCTGGCAGTAGAGGCTTGAACCCTACACTAATTCATCGCTGCTTGTTGCTCGCTGCCTCTTCAACTAGCTGTTGTCAAAAGCACCAACAGCAGCGGGAAGGGGGTCACTAACTACTATTTCCCTGGGTAAGGGCACGCAGAAGGAGCGGGGGAACAGCAGGGACCCAGAGCCCAGGAAGTAAGCTCCAGCCCCCAGCACTATCCCTGGGCACAAAGAGCCACCCATCCACAAAGAGCTGTGGGGGGGGAAGAGGAGTGGAAGAAAGGGACAGAGAGGAGGAAAAACGGGAATATACCAAGCATCCTATCGCCCTCTCCAATGAGTTTTGCCAAGAACTGGGTATTCTCTGACTTGCTTCCTCAGGGAGAAACAAAACAGAAACAAAAAAACAAACAAAAGAAAACAAAACAAAACTCCAAGCACCTTCAGTCTATTTTCTTGGCTGGAAGCCGGAGCAAATCCAGCAGATATTTACACAAGGGCCCAGCCATGTATGAGAACAGGATGACCAGCTTCCCGTGGGTCATGGTCATGAGAGTCTGGTGTCCCGAGGCCCAGATGCGATACCAGGGGCCGTAGAATGGGTCTGAGATGGCCGGACACAGCATGTTGTTCAAATTCACTTCGGTGACCTGCAGGGACAAGGGAGGTAGAGTGAGCGTTCGCCATCCCGAGGCTGCTTCTGGCTACTGCCAGTTCAGCCATCTATCCCTAGGGGTGACTGGACAAGGAGGGATTGACCAATCCCCGCCTGTTCATAAAGGGGCTTCTTTGCCCTAGGCTTTCTGAGTTGGCGATCAGTCACTGTCCTGGATGAAAGCTGTTCAGTTTTGCTCAGTCTTGCTTTCCCTTTGGGCCCATAGTCCACTGTCGTTCCTAAGCATTTATTGTGTGCCTAGCTCCTGGAGGAAGATTGCTTTTTTTTTAAGCCGTTAACTGTATGGTCCCTGTCTCCAAGTAGCAAGGGCATCAGTTGACTGCATATGACCTCAAACTAGGAGGTGCCCACTAAGCGTTACATGCCACGAGGAGGTCTGAGGAGCATACGGAAGATTTTGTGAGGGAAGTGGCATGTGAATGGACTAATGAAAGATGGACAAGGGTGTGGCGCGCAGTGGGTGAGCAGAGCTTTCCTGATGGCAGGTGTAGCAGAGCATGGGATGTATGTGACATGAGCACACCGACACTCCTGGAAACCAGCGAATCAGTGGGGAGCAGCAAGAGGAAAGGCGGGGGGTGTGTGCAGGTCAGAGTCATGCTGAGTCTTTCCATAAGCACAGGCAGCATTCACACTACTAGCAAAGAACCCAGCTCTGGCCAACCAGAGCCACAAAGACCAAGTGGCTGCTTCTCCAAAGGCATTGGGGACAGCCAGTTACACGCCCTTATCATGCAAGGCCGCACAAGGCTCCACATGCCTAACACTGCATTGATGCCAACCGCACAAAACCAAATATGGGGTTCCTGCCCCAAGGACAGCCATAACACCTGCCTTCCAGAGCTCTTAAGAGCTTGCTCACATTAAAGACAAGTCCTCGCCATCTCTCAAGGAAGCTAAGCTTTTTTATCTTGTTCCAGTGAGGTGAAAACTCCCTGTTCCCACACCCAGCCATGAGCTTTGCTTCAACACTGATACATTTTCGGCGCTATTGGACTCCGGGTATTTCAACATTGAGGCCAGCCATTTTCCATATGTCAGGCACTTCTCAAACTACAGAATGCTCTGAGGCTCCCAACACTGTGCATCTACCGGCCACACAGCTGAAGGAAGGGTCTCCTGAAGGACCTGGGGGCATACCCAGAGTTGACCCAAGATTAGGGGCCATCACAAGGCCCAGGGCCATCAGGATAAGAGTCCTACATGGCCTCGAGTTCCACAGCAAAGCACTTGCCAGTTACGGGTCCCTGTTTCTGACCCCAGTAGCCATGAGTGAAGGGTATCCTCGCATCCTCAGGAATGAAGGAACGACCATTACTGAAGGATTCAGAAAACTCTTTGAAGAGGCCAAAGCTTTGGATCATAAATCAGCAACCCAGACACAACAATCTGACGTCCTGGCCTTTAGCATCGTGTAGTTTTTCAAAACAAAATGATACAACAGCACCAACCAGGATTATCCAGATTTATGAAGCACTCCAAACAGAGGGGAGAGAGGGGGATCTAAGCACACTTACCAGGCCGAGGATCTGCAGGACGCTGAAGTGATAAAAGAACATGAGGCCCGTCGAGAGCAGAGCCCACCGGAAACTGCTGAGGGGCTCTGGGGTGTAAGCACCTGGAGGAAGACGGGAGATGGTGAGCCCAGAGGACTAGTGACCCACTTCTCTGCTCGCAAGGGTGCAGGTGCTCAGGTCACAGCCACAGCTGCAGCAGACTTGGTATCTCTTTCACTTATCACTTGACAGACTCTTCCAAAGGCCTCGATGCTTAGCGAGGAACCATGGTAGCCCTGCCATGACCCCAGGTTCTGCCAGTTGATAGTACACCATTAGAAAGAGAGGTTTCTGACAAGGGGGACCCTAAGAGAGACATGCATGGTCCCCTGGAGAAGGAGAAAGGGACAAGATCTCCCAAGCAAATTGGGAGCGTGGGGGAGGAGAGTTAGGAGGAAGAGGAGGGGAGAGGTGGGCATGACGGAGCAAGAAGATTGAGCCAGGGAAAGAATAGAGGAGAGCAAGAAAAGAGATAGCCATAATAGAGGGCGCCATTATAGACTTTAAGAGAAATCCAAACTAGGGAAATGTCCAGAGATCTACAAGAATGACCCCAACTAACAATCTAAGCAATAGTGGAGAGGCTACCTTCCCTGACAATGAAATTAATGACTACCTCATATGCCATCCTAGAGCCTTCATCTAGTAGCTGATGGAAGCAGAAGCAGACACCCAAAGCTAAGCACTGAGCTGATCTCTTGGAATCCAGTTGCAGAGAGGGAAGAGTGGTGAGCAAAGCAATCATGACCAGGCTGGAGAAACCCACAGAAACAGCTGACCTGAACAAGGGGGAAGCTCATGGATTCCAGTGTGATAGCTGGGAAACCAGCATAGGACCAACCCAGATTCCCTGAATGTGGTGTTAGTTGGGAGAACTGGGCAGTCTCTGGGGCCTCTGGTAATGGATCAGTATTTATCCCTAGTGTATGAATGGACTTTGGGAGCCCATTCCACATAGAGGGATACTCCCTCAGCCTAGACACATGGGGGAGGGCTGGGGCCCTGCTCCAAATGACATGTCAGACTTTGAAGACTCCCCATGGAAGGCCTCACCCTCCCTGGGGAGCAGAAAGGGGATGGGATGGGGTTTGGTGGGGGGAACAGGGGAGGATGGGAGGGTGCGGGAACTGGGATTGACACGAAAACAAGCTTGTTTCAAATTTAAATTAAAAAAAGAGAGGTTTCTGCTTTAATCTAAAAGTAATCCATGATTATTAAAGGTGACTTAGGATGAATAAAAAACTGGAGAGAAGATAGAAGCAAAGGAAGATAAGATTCCCAGCACTGGACTCCTGGAATAGAACCCTCACTAATACACTGCTGTGTCTCTAAGGTCATTTCTCCATGCCCAGGGTCAGGTTTTAAAATTAATGCTCGAATTAGTATTATCTGTCTGTATATGTAACTATCTTGTGTTTATATTTATCTCCTCATGATTCTAAATGGTATGACACAGTACTTGACGATGTTAATGTTGAAGTCAGATTCAGATTCAATTTTGGCGGGTTGTTTGGTTTTAGTTTTTCGAGACAGGGTTTCTCTGTGGCTTTGGAGCCTGTCCTGGAACTCACTCTGTAGACCAGGCTGGCCTGGAACTCACAGAGATCCGCCTGCCTCTGCCTCCCAAGTGCTGGGATTAACAGCAGGCGCCACTACCACCTGGTGGATTTGGGTTCAGATTTTGATGTTACCGTTCATTTGCTGTTGAGCTCTGAAAAAACGAACGGTTTTGCCAGTCTTACTTGCCCATTGAATTGGGCATAAAATGGCTGCTCAATGAGCATCGCTTTCTCTTGCTGACACCCTTAAATGGAGAGACCTGACAAATGTTTTAGCCAGTGGTTGTGCCGTTTCTCAGCTACTGAACATCTCCCGGTAACACCGAGTGATAGCTTTCCTCTCTGAATACTGCTGGAAACAACCATCCTCATAGGCCTGGGAAGATCTCAGAGCTTGGGCATGGTAGACAGGATGCTGCAGGTGTCTCTCGGATTGGGTACTTGGAAGGGGTGCTTCAGAAAGGGACCTGAAAAACACCTCCCCATCCCCCAAAGATAGAGGTGACAGCATCTCCTACAGTGCTGTTTGGCCAGGTCAGTCTTTCACTGTCCAACAGCTGTTCATACTTTGTAGATTCTGTAATAAGACAAGGTCCCAACAGTTTGAGGAACACGGGCAACAATGACAATACAACAAGCTGGGGGTGGGTGACTGAGATCAGGGCTTCCTGTAATAGGAAGGCAAAAGTCAGCCTGGGAGTTGGGGGAGGGGGAACAGAGGTGTGGTAAGGCATGCTTCCTGATAGAGGCATCCCTGTATCAGAGTCCTGAGAAACAAATGGGACTTCAGAAGGGCCCTAGGTCTTCCGACCTGCGTACAAGTAGACATGAGGCAGGTAGTTCAGAGCGGTATGGGTAAGAGTTCAGTAGCAACAGCAGGGATTGGGGTGTGATGGCTCAACAGGTAAATATGGGTGTTGTTTGTGTCTGATGACCAGACCCTGGGATCCAAGGAAAAATGCCAGGTGTGGTGGGGCACATCTATAATCCCAACACTCCTATGGTGATGAGAGGCAGACAGAGAATAATCCCATGGAAGGTTGTGGTTCAGCTATCCCAGAGAATGCAGCCCAGCATAAACATGAGACACCCTGCCTCAGAACAAAGCGGAACAAGAGAACTAATTCCCAGAATTAGTCCCCCCCCCACGCACACATATACATCTCTCTCGCGTGCACATACAACTCTCTCTCACACATAAAAATAGCAATATTAATTGTAATAATAATGAAATAATCCCGTAAAGTCACAAGGAGAGTGTAATGGAGGCAATGAGTACACGGTTAGCGAAGCTAGTCTACCCCAGACTGGGCCATGTGAGTTCAAGGAGCTGTGCTTCAGGCTTTGGGCTATATATATGCAACAGAACTACATGGTCAAATGTGTCATGTCTTACAAAGATTCTCAGAAGCAGGAGCATGACTAGGACTCAGAGACACTCAGGAACATCAGAGCCTGGTAAACACCCCACACCTTCTGTAAAGAACGTGGTACCACTTAGCTCCTCCGTCCATTGCATTGCAGAAAACGGCGCATGAGGTGCTTATTTCTTGCTTTTTCAAAGGAAAGCCAGAAACATGAAACTTTATGTGGAATGTCCTGATTTTTAAATGCAGGCAACTATTCAAAATGTTTTAAGACTGCTCAGTGGGCCAAGCAAAACAAGTATTCCAGATGGATTTCAGTCCCTGGGAGGCCATCTCTGTGCTCTGCTACAGAGCCACCAAAAGCTGCAGGGAGTTTGAGGAATGCCAGTGCTGGTCATTTAGATTAGGGTACAAGGGACAGTCTAAAGCCGAAAGAGTAAAGACATGGGTGCTGGCAAGATGACTGACTACTCCTGGGGTCTAGAACAAGGTAGTTTCTGGAAACAAAAGCAGCAAAGTAGAAAATCAGAAGGATGTGGCACAAGACAGGAGGATGAGGTTGAAGGACAGGGACAGTAGCAACTTTCAGGGTTGTACTAATAGCATCACTGGATTGGTGATGCCTTTAATTGCAATGGAGGAGACAGGTAACAGCAGACTAAAGCAAGGGTAAGAAAATGATGACATTTTAGACATGTTGAAAATGGAGTATCTGTGACTACGAAGCATCTATATAGGAACAGTGACTACATATACTCAGGAGTGTGACACTGTGGATACCCGGAGCCTAGAAGGTGGAGGTATTCAAATCGTGGTTCTATTGCTTATGGATTTCAACGCTTTGGGCAAATCACAGTATCTCTTCAGTTCAGTTCTACTCATCTGTATAATGGAAGAGGCACACCTCATTCACAGAGCTGTTGGTCAGATGAGATAATACATTTATAGCATGGTGCCAGGGATTTAACAAATGCTTGCTATTTTTGGAGATATGAGCCACAGACTCCATGAAGAGCATAAGGCAAACACACAAAGATGGGTGACGTCAGCACAAAGTAGAAAAAAAAAATCACGGGACTCTAAGCACACAGTGAGAGAGTAAAGGACCAAAAGCAAGATGCCAAGGAACAGGTACAAGAAGGGAGCAGGCAGAAGGAAATAGGTGGGGTGGCTGAAGCCAGGGGATAGCCTGTGAAGTTCACTCTGGACATGCCAAAGTGTCTGTGGTTTAGGATGTTGTTTGTGTCAGGTTATATTTATAGGCACATTCAGCCCATGTGGTAGACGCACCTTTGGTACCCAATGTTCCACAAAGTCAAGAACCTTGTATGTCTTTCCAACACACTCAACACAGCACTTGCTTGTAAGAAGGCATTGAGCAACATACTGGGAGTATGAACAATATACGCGTCCACCTGATACCTGAGTGTGACCTAGACACCGCGTTGTCACCCCAGTTCCCGAGGGCGCACAGGGGAAGAAGAGACCTGGAAGGCTGACAGGTAACACCTCCATCCATCACCTTCTCGGCTATCTTTCCCTTCCTTCTGACCTCTGCTCAACAGCCCCCGCCCCAGTGCAGATGAGAGGCAGTGCCATGCCTCAGATGCCAAGGGCGGTGCAGGAATGGGCTTGAATGTGTGTGTGCCCTCATCCAGCTCAGCAGCCATAGTCCTAGGGAAAGGGGACGAGGACTCAAGCACAGGACAGCTGCCCCTTCCTTGTGCTTCTCCCACGCTGTGTTCTAGGGGGAAGGAACACTCCGAAACTACCAGGGAGCATGTTTTCCAGTGTTCCCACTGACCCTTCCCAAAACCCCATGTTTGCACCAACCCTTCTGTGTTGCATCAGCCAGTTCAACCAGGCTGACTATTGACAGAGGGAGGAGCTCTCCCTAAAGCTCCCCTTTTGCCCAAGTCCTGGATGTACAGTGGACGCCCAATTGCTCACGACATGGGCAAAGTGTGGGCACAGACCTGCCGAGGAATCATAAAAGTGACTTTGAGTCAATGCTAGTCCTAAGAAGACTATCTTCAAACACCTGTAAAACCCAACCCACAAACCACCCTTATCTGCACAGAGATATTTAGACATGTTCTCTATAATACTGAGAAACTGGAAACAAACCAACTAGGC